AAAAAAAAAGAAAGTAGTTCGTAAAAATTAATATGTTTACCTGGGCTGGTGTTAAGTACTACACACGTGCACGTGTGTCATGGTTTGGTGAATCGCAAGCAACTCATGCAACTGCGAGCGTTGCGGGTGATGGTAGAATATGTAATTCCAAGCATCATCATGATAAGTATACTATGCAGCGAGATGAGCTTTATGCTTGGCGAGTCGAATGTAACAGTAGGTATTATAGCGTTGTACCAAAAAGCGGACAGGAGGTCAGTTTCACCTCTAGCCGGCAAAGCCATACGCAGCTATATAGGGTGGTGGCCGAGCGTCGGAGGCAAGAATTGTGGCTTCCTCTTACTTACTTTTTTTTTTTTTTTTTTTTTTTTCCTTCTTCTCCTCCGCCTCCTTTCTCTCTTTTACTCTCTTCTTCTATACATGTACTTCGAGATGGAGCGTCTCGAGTTTTATAGCCGGCGTTTACTACACCGGCCCTCAGTCGTGCACGGGCCTCGCGTTTCCTCGCGTCTCGAGCTCTATACTTATCCGCTCCGCCTACACACACACGCATGTATCTATACAAGTAAAAAATGAGCCGGTTCGAAAAGTGCGACCAATAATACCTGTGAGATTTGTCGAGTACTCGATAATATGAACTTTGTCCTATCAACAATCCAATGTCAATATAATTATGATATATACCGTTGTTATTACATGTATATGTTGTTGTGAAAATGTGATTTGGTGTTTCAAGTTGGTAAAAACAAAATATCATCTTGTGTTTTTTCAACTTATCGCAGTGGACGAGTTGCTAAGGAATGAAAAAATATACCAGATGTAAAATAATTGTAATGTATAGGTACAGTTAAAAGCTTGGACAAGCGCGAAAGAAGCAGCTGATGCAGTATAGCCACTATAAGTCATATCGCTTGACGTATCGCTCGCGCCGCCCCTATCTACACACAGTTATATATAGGACATGGCGAAATGAGCGTATATAGATATAATATATGCTCGCGAGAAGGAAAAAAAGGAAGAGCACTTGGTACTTAGTACACTTAAGTAGTAGTAATAATATAATAAAAATCAAAGTGTTGCTGGGCACAGCCGCGCGGTGTCGCTCGCTCGGGATCTGTCAGACCGTCCGCGGGGGTCTGGCTTCATGCATTACCTATACATTTGTTGTATATTAAAAAGAACATGTACGGGATACACCTATATAGCTGCGCGAGGGGCCCGAGTGACAGGTAGGTCGGTATACCTATAACCGAGGCCAGGTATACATTGTGCACGTATACCCCCACGACCTATGAGTATAGTGTATAGTCGCTCGGTGCAGTGTGCGCGCACACTTGAAGGAGCAAGCTTGTGATTATACAATATCCATTATACACGCGAACAAGTATATCATGCGCTCCGGCTACCATTTGCTCTTCTTCTCCTGTATAAGCTATTGTCGTTATTTTTAATTATACAACTGTTGTTGTTGTTGTTGTTGTTGTTGTTATAACGATGAATATTACCGCGGGATTGATTATTATTTAATAGATGTTGGTGTAAAATCGAATGTCATTCACTGATTTGGCGCTATACGCTCGTACCTTTACTGCACGGCCGCTAAATTGATTTGCAGTTTCGATCGCGCGGTGAGGGCATGCCGAGCCTCGATTTTCACTTTCAAGGGGCCACCGAGAACTGGAGAACGAGGATAAGTAGTGTGTGTAGTGCAGTGAAACCGGAGGGGCCGAGTAGCACCATCAGGACAGCGCAGGATGAGGTTGAGGTGCTTCCTTCGTTGGCTCACCTGTTCGTGAAAAAGAACGTCGGTCGGTCGAGCGCGCGCGCGCGTGTGGGTCAAAAAACACAAGCACACAATAAGTATAAGACGTACAAGTTGGAGGAGTGAAAAAGGAGCAGCCGAGCCATGGTGTTTCTCGGGAGAAAGGAGAAACGGACCCGCGAGCGCCGGTTGCTCGCGAGCATGGAAGCCGTCCAGCAGGACGTCAACAAAGATACGGCCCACTACGATAACGGTATATATATATATATATGTATGTATACCTTGCCGCGCCTGACTCCCCTTTCCCCCTTGCGTCCCCTCGTGCCGCGGTATCGCGGATTTTATTTTTCGCCTGATTCTCACACGCATTCTTTTCTTTTCGCGATTTTTTTCCTTTTCCTTTTTTGTTTTATTTTATTTTATTTTATTTTATTTTTTTTCTTTCCCGTCTCTCACACGTAGAGCCGGACCCCTTGATCGCTTTGCTGCCTTTACTTTTTTCCGCGCGGAGCTTTTATTTCGAGCAGAAAAGGGTTTCAAGAATTTTAGTCGTACAGTACTTGATATTTTTATTTTAAGAACACGTGTACCTATGTCGCGAGCTCCTCTTCAAAATCACGTAATCTATTTATACCTGCGTTATAAATATTTTCCCTGCCTCTTAAGTCACTTAGCGTGCAGTTGCAAATTTCGTTAGCACAACACAGCCCGCCACCGACAACCGAGCAAACTGTTTTCGTAGCCTGCTTGCGAAATCGAACGATCATAGCTTATCACTCATTTTTCGAGGTTTTTTCGAACATGCTCCCGTAAAAAATTCATCTGTTTTCGAAGATTATTATACGTATGCGTATACACTAAACAATCCAAACATGCGTTACAAACATTTCTGCATTATCACAATTTCAGTATCAATTTTATTTTTATTTTTCCAACTAAACTTCCGTGTTTTATCCATGTTTTATATCCATCTGTATACATAATCCTAATGTCGATAAAAAGAAATCTAATTGCCGAAAATCACTGAAACAACCTAATCATTACCTTGAGCTTTTTTTTTTCTTCTTTTTTTTTTTCATCCGAAAGGTCAAATTCACGCGATGTGATGTTTCATAATATTATACTCCGTAAAACGTCAACAATACTCTTGCAATTCGATTCCCACAAAGTAGAAACATACCTGACACGGTCAGACACATACGCTACAAGCCATCTCAATAAACATAGACTCTCTCGACTTTCAAACTTTTCCTACAAATTGGCACATATCCATTAAAATCCATGCCCTCGATCTCCCAAATATTCGCAGAAAGTGATTTTGACAAAAAAAAAAAATCCATTGATCTTCCCTTGGTGCTACGGCAGAGGCATTAATCACGAGAATCACATTCTCGGGCACGCGAGTGGATGATTGTAATTTTCCAAGAGCGGGGGTAACTCTAAATGGGTCGTTCGATAAATCGCCACTGGCCACAGCTCATGCAGGCACATGTACGTATGTATAAATGCATGTGTGAGTAGAGTACCAAAGTGTACCTACAACAAAGGAAGAAAAGGGTCGAAAGTAGGTATAACGCGGCCAGCCACCTGTAGCTATGATTATCGATCCGCGAGCTCGTATGAATATACCCACGGTGTAAGTATAACGCACAAAGGAAAGCCGGGCGTCCGTTGGCTATACCCGCTACCTTCCTACCTCTTGTCTTGTATTTATTGTCTTCTTCTACTGCTCGTGCCTCTCTCTGCGAGGGTTGTCGGACAGTCACTCACCGAGGGTTGCCGTTAATTCATAGCGAGTAGATCGAGCTCCACAATTGCAGGACGCTAATGCACCGCGCGCTCGTTTTTCAGCGGCTTTCATGCAGTCCCAGGATGTCGCGGACGGCCTGGCCGGAGCCGAGGCGCCAACCAAGAGTCCAGAAGCCCAGGACACGGATCTCTTGTTCCTCGACGCTTTCCTTGGCGATCCGCTCGTCAGGGCCCTCATACAGGTAAGCCCTCTTCCTTTCGTTGAAATAATACAATTACGTCACGTGCAGTCCAATTGGGGGATTCTTTTTTCCATTTGTCCAAGATGACACACTCTTTTTTTTCCAGAATATTTTAGTTATTCCGAGTCCAATTGATCCGTGGTGACAGTTCCTCCCCCCCCCCCCAAGCCCCCCTTTTACGCTGTACCGAAAAAATAAAAAATCGAGTCGGTCCCTCGAAAATTCCGAGCGATGGTCAACTCCTCCTCCCCCTACCGCGGGTGGCTCGTGAAAATTGAAATCTCGGTTAAGCTCGAGCACTCGCGAGATCGTTTAGCGCAGCTTAACGTAATGGAGGGAGACGGAACGAGCGCCGCAAAACGTTATCAGAGAAAAAGCCCGGAGGGAGCCGCATCAAGCTCGGGACGGCATGGTACGTACAAGTACAGGAAAGCTCGCGGCGTCTCGTCGCCCCCTCGGAAACGTGCAACGTATGGGACACGGGCGGCAAGAAAAATTGGATTCGCCGGCGATGCTTTTGCCGTCCTTTTATTAATAGCCTGCACGAAGCCGGGCGCGTCGGAGGAATTTTCGAGTGGCGCGCAAGCTCGTCGCCGTCGTGACTGTGCGGGGCGAGCAACGTATAGGGAGCCGAGCCGTGACGTCACTCGCGAGAGCTACACGTACGCCAATGCGTGCTCCAAAATTCAGGCGCCGAGTTTATAATGCACGAGCTATGGTACCTATATAACACCCGCAACAGTGGCAAATTTTGAAAAAAATAATCGGATCGGCGTGGAAATGCGCTGCAGTACCACCAATACTTACTAAAACAGCAAGTAAAATAATAGTCTCTGACATTCATGGTTCCTCGTTTATTTATCATTATTATTTTTTTTTTTCTTTAATCGCTATCATTACCTACCCCTCGGACTTGCGATTTTCAAATTCAATCGTTGACTAGCACTCACACGTGGTTATTGGATAAGTCAAGCCAAAGCATTCGATCTCTTTTAGACCAGAAATTTCGAGATCGATCAACGATTGTTTAAATTAGACAAACAAAAGTAAAAGGTGGTGACGAAACAATGCGATGACTTGAATTGCTTGGAATTTCGTGGGACGAAATGTAAAAATAAATTCTTCCAAAGAGCTGTTCGAAATTGTTATTCACCAAAGCCGTCGAGAAGCATAAATTTTTTTTTCATTCAAAAACTTTTGGACTATAGTTTTGAATTCCCGAGAACAAACGAAAAAAGATTTGACAAATGAGCTCTTATAAATAGAGCTCTTTGAGATTTGCGCGGATAAATGCGCGTGTGTACGAGTATTTGTAAATTGTAGAAGTGTCTTTTAAACAACGTATTATCATAAGGCTTGAAAAACCTGAATGACAACGGAATGTGAACACGAAACTATTTCACGGATTTTCTTTTTTTTAATCTGGATATTGTGATGTTTTTCTGAACGTTTACAAAGTAAACATCGTAAATCTTGTCTATCGATGTAATAAAAAAAAACATGGGTATTTATAGATACACCGGCATTTCGGTTGACTTTGTGTGGGTTGGTACTGTTGATCGACTGTTGATGATTGCAATAGTGTCTCCGATGTAATAGGGTGCGAAAAGGGTTTCACGCGCTTTGTGTTTTTAGTATAGATACGTATTACAATGTAAGTGATGCCCCAATGCATGCACTCGGAGAATGTACAATAGGCATCCATATATGAATCCGAAAGCTGGATGGATCATGAAAATAAATCGAACGGGTCCACACAGAGCATCAGAGCTGGGAGGTGGGGGGAGACCGCGTGCGTCACGTCAGCTGTTATAGCACACATACGAATGTATTTGCCTCGGTCAATCGGTCGCGTGTACGTAGGTTATAGGTACCCCGAGAAGGCGAGAAGTAGTACGGGCTGCCGCGCACTCGGGCATCCGGCGTTTATCAAGTAGTTGGTGAGTTCCGTTTTTAGCGAGCCGTGAACGATGAGCTGCGCTCCTTATCAGTTTCCTCCCCCGTGTTCCGCGCTCCGTCGTTGGGATATTGTATAGGTATACGTAAGTTTGAAAGATGCGACGAGCTGTACTAGCTAGCCCGACGATTTATTTCGGTCGCGACATACTTTTTTGGCGCCACGGCCACAATAGAGGAGCCATGACCAACGAGGTATAACGATATTCTTGCGCGCGTAGTTTTCGTACTCTCGCCGCCTTCCCGGCTGACCCGGCTTTGTCATCCTCCTCCGTTGCAGCTTCCATTTTCCAAATTTAAATTTCAAATTCCGCGTAGTGGTCAGCGGGCGATGTTTACTCCTTGCTTGACCGACTTTTTTCCCTCTTGCAGTTTATTCGCCTTTTTCGAGGGAAGAAAAAAGTCGGGCCGAGACAAAGGGACTGTGCGCTCGCTCGATTGCTAAAGTCGATTCGAGCGCAACTAGGTATATACATATACATACATATACATATGTATATATGGCGTCTCAAATGTTTCCCAACTGATAAGTACCTATAATCGACAAGTTATCGTGCTCCGGGTCAAAGAGAGTCACTGCATCTACCATGGTTATATGGGAACACTAATTTATACGTATAGAGAGGCGCGCTTCAAGCTCCGCTTTCCATACATCTGCAAATTATCAGAAGCACTTTGGCTGTTAACAATAGGCCCAATGGGACCAATCAACTCGCGCGCGACACGACCACTTTACGCAACATTAATCATTAATCGCGTGTCTGTGAACTAGTTTAATAAATCTTATTACACGTGCACTAATTGCAATTAACGCTAGCAACTTTTTCAGTACTTATCATGTTTCATTAAAACATAATATATATATATATATATTTCCAACGGCAAAATGAAATTGCTTTCATTTATGATTTATCATCGACAGGTATACCTATTTGATTGATTTAATTGACTATAAACAGAAGAAATATACTTATTATAGGTAAACAAATAATAATAATAATAATAATAATAACAACAACTCGTTAAAGATAAAAATGTGACTATGGGTATGATGGTTATAATAATGCTTAGGGTAATGTCAATGCGCGAACTATCGGCAACACGTGTTAGCGGATGAGTGTGCGTATACTTATGTATAATATATGTATAGGTACCTATATTTTTTTACTACGAGGCCATCGCGCCATGCGTCACTCGATATACTTACACCGTTCACGTAACCATCACCATCACAACCATGCAATGCACGTTCTATTCTATAACGTGAACAATCCATACACCCACGCATGAGAGATAATACTCACACTCATAACGCAGGCTCCATGTGCACAATATACTAAGACAATAATAAGTATAATACACTCCATGCGAAAAGGGTCTCTCGACTCGGGCAAGCGCGAGATGGAACGAAAAGAATGAGTTTAATACCAGGAGCGTATACGCGTGCGATGATGGGTAAACAGGTATATCCAAGTAGCTGCTGGTACTTACTGTGACTTTCATGTATTTTTTATAAACTTTAATCAACGATATGCCTACGACAAAAATCTACTGATTAGGTAGTTACAATTAACAAAACGTGAAACCCGTGTGAATAAGGGGCCCATGCCTATAGGTATACCCAAAGATACCAATACCAAGTTGATAAAAAAAAAAAAAAAAAAATATGCGAGTTACCCGTAAAAAAATAAAAATCATCATTATTATAATTACGATAAAGTAGGTATTATCAATTAAAAATGCGATTTTTCACTCAAACTAATTGATTAAATAAACATGTAGCTACTTGGCACGCGTCAAGTATATATAGATGAACCAGCAGAAAGGGACGAGCAAAGATTCCGACCAAGTTCTTGGCTTGATTAAAGACCCACCGCGAACGGAGAGTGTACGCGGCTTAACTTTGGGTACTATAGGTATATGCACCATATATCCCGGATTTCAAATCAGAGAGAAGTGCACCGTCGAGAGTTTGCGGGCCATCACCAGAACTTGCATGCAAGCTACCTCATATGATCATTCCTCATATAATAACCATACTCGAGCAATTATACCTATATTTTTGGTGTATAAAAAAAATTGTGTTTAAATGTAGAGCTTTTTTTATTTTTTTATTTTTTTTCTACATTATTAATTTGATGTCACGTACATTAGATAAATTAGTATTTGAAAAATACCATATGTATGTACATGCAGATACCTTCAGCTTATTCATTTTTATCGTTACCTAAGTATACTTACCTACTTTTGGCGAGAAGTGTACGTATCTCTACGCACACTTCTCGCCCATCCAAACACAAGGGCGATCGCGTCTGACCGTACGTTCCTGGGGCCTGAGAGTCACGATAGTATACCAGCTATACAACGGCGAAAAGTCGCGGCACATGTATAAGTATATATAT